TAGAATTCCTAAGAGGGAAATGCCAAGTAATWTTCGCCGGAGATCCCTGCCAGCCGCCTCCGATAGCCGGAGAGATGCCCCACGAATGGTTGCTAGAAATGGCAGACCACTGTGAGGAAATTAACACAGATTACCGCAGCAAGGATCAAATACGTAACCTAAAGGCAGAACTGCGGGACCTTAGTGATGCCGACCAATGCAAAACACTGCGCAAACGCGTACGAGCGAAAAAGTACGAGGACTTTCTATACGCCTGGCATCCGAAGGATCTGGTGCTAAGTAGTAAGCGCGCAGCACAGTCTCGCATACAAAAGGATTTGCTAAATATACACCGAGAGCGCTTCCCTACGTATTCCGTACCCGTTTGTTATAAACCCCACGACACCCGCATGCAAAAAAGAGACGTCTTGATACCTGGTAYCGACATCCAACTGCAGAACGCAGTAACGCATGACAAAGCCTGGGTACCCATAGAAAAGGTGKAAAGAATTACCTCCCATCCAGATTGGCGCTTGGGCTATTGTATGACAGTCCACAGCGCGCAAGGGCTTACCATAAAAGAAACCTTATGGATCATAGACCAGCGGCTATGTTGGAGCAGCCTTATCTACACCGCCGTAAGTCGTGTGGAGTATGCCAAACAGTTAACGAGAGCCTGGGGTCCGCAACTGCGCTACGATAAGACGCCAGAGGACGTAGCCAAAAAGACCATTGCTAAGAAACTCCTTCGCTACAAGCGGCACGACGAAGAAAAAAATATAAYGTTCGACTTATGCGTGGACGACGTATATAAAAAAGGGGAACGCTGCGTTAAATGTAACATACCACTACTATGGAGGTTTGACCCAAATGATGATCAGCAGTTCTCCGTGGATCGTATAAATAACAAACGCGGGCATTGCAGAGGCAACGTAAGACTGACATGCCTAGAGTGTAATCGGGCGCGCGGTGCTGCGCTACTTTGAGTCTTTGGGGACTATGAGCAGCTCTTCCTTAACAAATCCCCGGCTTGGGCCATTTAGGTAATACAACACGGGTTGCCCTTCCTTGGTGACGGACTTTGAAATCTCATACGTTTTCAGAGACCAGTTAGGATCCGTGGCTCTCTTACTGCCACCTTCGAGTTCCCCCGGCTGATAGAGGTATCTGACCACTATGTTGCGGGGGAGCTTTTTTTCC